ACCTGCTAGGCACTTTGTGCATGTCTGTGTGTCTCCATAAGCCTTGCTGCAAGGCTAGGCATCCCAGGTGAAGCCAAAGGCCACCCAGGCTTTGAGTGGGTTTGTATCACACTGACACAGAAGACACAGTCATTACACTCTCATTTCTGTTGGCTCGACTCAGCTTTGCATGTTTTTGTTTAACTGCATTAGAGCCGTCCAGGAGGTGAGAGCTTTGAGCAGGCTGCAGCTGCCCCTGGGAAAGGCGTCTGGATTATCGAAATCCACCTTGGAGTGAGGCTTTTGTGCTCCCACAAGTCTTCACACAAGAGCAATTTTCCAGCCAAGTTGGAGAACTAAGAATGAAAACTTATTTGTATTCTTGTTTCACAGAGGTGATCTTGGGAATTAAAATATTCTCAGCTTTCGTGTACAATATGTACCGACACCGAACATTAATTTGGGGGCATTTGCTTTCATCCAGCAGCTGTGCAGTTAGAAAGGGTTGGGTTGTGTAAGGATACCACGCTGCCAGCTGACCAGACAGCAATACAGCCATCCTGTCTGAAACTCGAACTTTCACCAAATAACATCCCCGCAAATCTACAGCTATTTTTGGATTCTAAGCCAAAATGCTTATCAAATTTGACATTCATGGTGTAAGACACAAAGAGAAAATCTAATCCTTACTGCTTTTTAGCTGTCCTGTGGTTAGTTTCCACACCACAAACTGCAGAGAAAGACTATTTCTGGTATTTCCAGGAGAGTTCATTATTCTTTTTTTCCCCTCTTCCTCTTTGGTTAGAAAGGGTCTCTATTGTCGCGATCGTCATCCTTACTCTAGAGGGCACTCCAACTCTTTTTGTATTTTAGTTTCATTATTACGTTCACCTGCCTCTTGTTCCATGAGTATTATTTAAACCCCATGCCTACGAAGCACTGGAAGATGGATGCCACACGGCCTGCCTATTCCCGGGGCTCGCGGGTAGCCCGAGGGCAGGTCTTATTCCCCGGCGTCCTGACCATCTGGGTCCGGGGCTCAGAGCACTCGGCTCTGTTATGTTTTTAACTTCCTGGTTCCTGAGTCCTCATCCCCCGTTCCTGTCTTTGTTCGGATAGATCTCCCAGCTATGGACTTTCGGACTGCTTCCTGGTTTCCCCTTTCGGATTGTTTTGGAGACGTTCGCCTGCGCCACGCCCCCCGAGCACCGGAACACTGCCGTCACGAGCCCCAGTCAGTCATCCCATCCTGATCCTGTTGTGTTTACCTGTTGCCCTTCTCCAGCCTCTTCTTGATTTTACCATCTGCATAGGGTCCAGAACTACATTCATTACGTCTCTTTGTCAGTCTGCAGTCTTGACTGTCCAATAGGTAGTTACTACTAATAATGCCAACCCAGATAACAGGAGGGGTTCATGCTTGCCAGGTCTCTGGAAGTTACTCTATTCAGCATGATTTTCCCCTCTGTCATCTGTCCACCCACTGGCACTTAATTTCTTTTAATTACCCCATGTGTCAGTCTACTAGGTTCACAAAAAAAAAGGAGCAACAGATTGTTAAATCCTTAATTTGTGTGAGAAATGCTTCTATCTCTTTTGGTTTTCAGAGATCCTGCTTCCCTGGCATTTAAAACTCAATTTTAGGAGACAACTGGACAAGGACAGGCAAAGACGTCTAGGAAGAATTCTATAGAAACAGATTGAATTTTGAAAAGTAATTGACATTTAACAAAATATCAGCCCAAGCATTAATGCTCAGAGGCAATTCGAAGGCAAAGAAGTTTAAAAGGAACAGCTTTCAGACTCCTGCATTGTGGATTAAAACTTTGTGGAGATAACACTGCTCTTCAGCCAGGCCTTGATAACGCTCTGTTTTAATTGCTTTGGCCTCTGCCCCTGCAAACTAAGATATTGTGGAGAACTTCGCAGTGAGCTGCAAGCGATTCCACTTCTGGAAGAGGGCGATTTGGAGAGAGTGCTCGAAAAGAAAAGAGGTCACGCTGAAGAATTAAGGCAGGCCATCACTGCTGGGGAAGTTTACATCAAAGCAGCTCCTATCAGGAGCACTGCTGCTGTTATTTATAGCCATCAGCCCACCAGTCCTCTGAGGCTTTCAATTTAGAAAATGGCCTTTCAGCTGCTAAGTAAAAAACACATCAGAAATCCTGAAGACAGCTGTTTTACTGTGACGGGAGCTGGTCCAGGCTCTTCCGTGAAGTGTAGTTCTGGACCCTATGCAGACGGTATTACCCAGAAGTAAGTGGAAAAGGACGACGGGGAGGAGATGATGAGGATCGGTTGACTGACGGGGGGGCATGACGATGGTGAACTGGTGCTCAGGGGGCGTAGCCAAAGCGAGTCCAGGGAGCCGAGGGGGAAATCTGGGGCGGAGTCCAAAAGTCCAAAACCAGGTGATCCATCCGAGACGTGACAAAACAGAGTTAAAAACTGGAACGGGATCTGGTACAGGGACAGGGACTAAAAATGAGATGACGAGGCCAGACGCTCCGAGCCTCGGACTCAGCAGGGTCAGGACACTGTTAGGAGGCCTATGCCCTCAAGCCGCAGGCATAGGGTGACTTGATGGTAGCTGAGCCTCCGGGCGCCCATCTTCCAATGCTGAGCTGGGAGTAGGGAGAGCGCCCGGCTTAAATAAGGAGGGGCAGGACTGGGGGCAGGTGCAAGTAATTAGCAAAATAAGAAAGGAGGCCCTTATGAGGAGGGATTACGATCGTGACATTTACATACAGGGCTAATTAGGGTAGTACCATTTTAACCTAAACCTTAACAAGTTTAGTTATTAGGACCATGTGGGTCCTAATTGTCCCAGTATAGTGACGGGGACACTATGCTGTAAACCGGTGCCGTCCTCTGGATGAGATGTAAAACCGAGGTCCTGACTCTCTTCGGTCATTAAAAATCCCAGGGTGTTTCTCAAAAAGAGTAGGGGTGTTACCCCGGCATCCTGGCCAAATTTCCCATTGGCCCTTCCCAATCATGGCCTCCTAATAATTCCCATCTCTGAACTGATTTCCTCACTGCTCTCCTCCCCACTGAGAGCTGATGTGTGGTGAGCGTTCTGGTGCACTATGGCTGCTGTCACATCATCCAGGTGGAGCTGCACACTAGTGGGGGTGGAGGGGATCCCCATTACCTGTAAAGAGCTTTGAGTGGAGTGTCCAGAAAAGCGCTATATAAGTGTAAGCAATTATTATTAACATCCATGGGGATTAAAAACATTCCAACAGAAACAACCCCAGCCCCTGAAAAACTGGTTTTAAACTTGGCTTTTTAATATGTTCCAGGTAGTCTCCCTTTTGAAATCACCTTCTGTTCAAAATAATGCATACACAGCTAGGAGCACCATATTTGTTCACAAACTATTGCAAAGCAAGGAATCCTATTTCACTAAATCTGAGACATTCAAACACAAAAAAAAAACACCTTGAAACCCTCCATAAGGGTGATCCCCACATACCTTTGCAGCACAATGCACTCCAGCCCAAATCGCCCTCTTACCAGGCTGGTAAGTGTGACAGCTTTTACGGCTGATCATTAATTTGTCCATTTCCATACACTGGAGCCATTTAACTCTGACCCCTTGGAAAGATGATTCAGCAAATGAAGACCACGAGAGACTATTTGGAATAAAATCGCCATTCACTTGATCTCTTCAAGAAAAGGAGTTCCCTTAAAGGCATTTAAAGAAATGGCTTCCTTTATTGATCAATGAAGTTCATGTGTTCCCAATTTTTTAAAACAGGTGATTTAGGTGCAACTCATAGGACCAGCTGCACTGGGCTCTCCTGGAGCCAGGGAAGGAGACACCTGCTGTAGTATAATATGACATTCTCATGACTGAAATTCTAATGGTCCCTTCAGCCATGACTTGTCCAGCACATGTAATGGGTTGGAATGGACGCTGTTATTTTGTATAGTTTTCACTGGGATGTTATTTTATTCGATCTTTTTATCTGTTATCTACCCGTAGAGGCTACAGTTTTAATCGATAATTTACTACTTATGTCTGTGAAGAGGGAGCTCCCGTTGCCTTTCCTCATTCACGCTAAAAGCCACTGATGAGGAAACTGCGAGTTAGTGACTGATTATTAAATCATTTCCCTCTTCAGGTAAAAAGTGTATAAAACACGATTGTTATTTGCAGAAAATGTATCAATGATTTCTTATGACAAAAGTATGTTCCGGTCAGATTTGAGTGTATGTGTTAAGTAATATCGAGTTATTAGAACAAAGTTAGTAGCGCGAATCCTTGCGGTTGGCATAAAAGCCATGTATTTGGTACTGTATGTTCAATGTGAATATTTTAGTGATTAGCAATTCAGTTCATGTTCGGTAATAGCTTTAGTTTATTTCACTGTTCCTGGTTTTCTAGATTTATTAGTGTTTTTTTTATATTAATAACCAAAGTGCTGTCGCATTTATATTGCTAGTGAACGTTACGTTTTTAAAGAAATACTGACGTGCTCTCGCGATGTCGCCGATTTGATTGTGTTTTAGTGTTGCGTATTTTTTTTTAACTGAAATGTCTAATATACTAAGGAGAAGACTGAATAAGACGTAATGCAGAATATTTTCTTGATATATAATTAGAAAAATATTAAGAAGCATTTTTGTAACGTTCAGCTTATTTTCTTTGTTCTATTGTATTGCTGTAAACTGTTTATCCTATAGAGATTCACACTAAAAGCCACTGAGGAGGAAACAGCGAGTTGAGTGATTATTTCATCATTCCCCTCTTCAGGGGCTACACACACACTCATCTCCTCACCTGTGAGGGTGCTAATTTGTACAGCTGTGTTATACTAGAGCAATCAGCTCTGAAGTGTCTTTTTTTGTGTTGCACCTACATCATAAAGCAGAGAGCAGAGGAGTTTATGGCCGTATGTACACGTACTGTACACTGGAATCCTCAATCGCGCTGATCTCTCGGGACAAACACGGTACAACACACAACACCACACACTGTAGACGACAGGAACAATACATGTGTTGTGGGAAAATAAATATGTAGTAGTGAGACCAAACAAAAAGGGGGTAGACAATGTAAAAAGGGCAGAGTGCAGATGTGTATCGAGTCCGAGGCCCTGCAGTTAGCTGTGCACTGGGATCATCGTTAAGATGGGAATATGGGCCGGGTGAGAAACATGCTGTATATTGGCTTTCATTATTAAATAGTAAGAGATCTACAACACTGGAGCCAAGGCAGAACTTTATTTAAGCCTCTTCAGCGATGAATGTGTCACAGAGGCTGAGCAAAGGAAGGACTCGTGATGTATTGTCCCCTTAGTGATGACACCCCCAGTATGACAGAGACAGGAAAAGCGCACACGGGGCTTCTGAAGTGTCACCTCTGGGCTCTTATAAAGACGAATGAGCGAGGAAAATACACACAGTGAATTCTCTTCTGTTAAGACGCCAGGATTTTTTCCCCGCGCTTCTGATATATGATGCATATTTTATCGGAGGTCGATTTCATACCGCGACAAGGGGAGGCCAGGAAGAACACGGTTGTCCAGAACACCTCCCCCCACCAAACATGCTGTTTTTACAAGACATTTTCAAGCAAAAGAAAAAAAACAAAACACACGTATCGGCGATAGTGAAACTGTATGTTTGAATTGCTTATGTAAGAATTCATGGTAGTTTGTGTCGCTAGGAAATTAAGAATATACACTATTTTGTACAGAGTTATACAGAAAGGAATATACAGATAAGTTTAAGAGGGGATGATGGAAGTATTCAAAATCTTCAAAGACAGTGACGGTCAACCCAGCGGAACTTCTGGGTGAAACACTGACCAGTGAAACTGGCCGGACACACTGACACTGACAGGTGGAAACTACAGTATGTGGAAGTGCGTTTAACACCGAGAACAGAAGATGTACAACATTCACTCCTATACAGGAGGCGAGGTACTCAGTTCAGTAAATGAGGAATTCACATTTTCACAAAATTGCGGTTTAGAACTGAGTCCTTTTGTGCATTCACGTTTTATCCCGGCGAGAACTGGGAATTCACATTAATACGATTGATACATTTTTTTAATGAATATCCCGAGAAGACAGCAGAATGAAAAAAGACAGGAAGCGGTACCCTGATCTGTGTTATTCGATGCGGTGCAATGGACTATAAACCACTTTGACAAATATTGCATTCCCATTTCTTCTCCGGCGGCGTGCGCTAATTTCCCCCTTAATCTACCAAAGCAATTTAACACATGAATTCTCTGACGCAGATCGACAAGCTTGTGCCGTTCTGCAGTCCGGCGATGCTATGTTCACTCTGCATGAGCCGCTCGTAAATATTTGGGCGACTGACGGCATCACCTCTGGGGCGTTACTCGACTCGACACGACCCTGTCGGTTTTAGTGTAGTTCCCACCCCGGGCTGGATAGGGGGTATTTGAAGGGTAGGGCGTTGCAGACGGGCTCCGACGGCCAGAACGCCATTGGCTGTGCTTGTTGGAACGTTAATTAAGGAGTGAAGCTGTGCATCTGGCCGTCCCCAGGGCAGGCAGACCGCAATCTGCGAGCATCGAGTTCATCGCAGTGTCAGAAAAAATACAGACCACCGTACAGAAAAAGCATGCGTGCGACAGACGTGCGCGTACACCGTGTCTCTATATGCGCACACATGTGCGTGTGTGTGATAAGAGTGATGACGGGCGCAAGTGTGGCTAAGGTGTTTTCGAACTGAATTCTCACACCTGCCCTAAAGCACCTGTCTGGGAATCATTCCGTATTTGTTGGTGTGTCGAGCGACGACGATCTTGCAGCATTCGCATTTAGCACCCCTCCCTACTGCATCCGAAGAAAATTAAAACATCAGGACAATTAAACTGTATTATCCTCAAGCAGCCGGGGGAACAGGCGGGGGCGGGGGGACGATAAAGGGTGCGAGTGAGATTTGTTGAGCTGCCAGAGAAAACTTACATCAATAATCCTGCCAGGCTGCTCGCTCGCTCTCACAGCTGTGCGAGACCTCCGGACTTCACAGTGCGGAGTCCCGGCGAGAGGAGCAACAGCGCTGTGCCGCCGCCACCCTTCGACAACGCAGCCCCCTGCTTAATCTCTCATCCGCGACTCCGTCCTCCTGCCCCGTCTGGCGTCGTGAAAAAGGAGCCACAGAATGGAATTGTCTCTCATGGCTGCGCAGGTAAGGCTCCGATGTCCGTCCGGACCCGGCCACCCCCGTGCCTCTCCTGAACAAGTCGTGCTTTGCTTCACTGTGGCGTGCTGCGGTTTATTCGCGGGTCTGCCATTTCCCGACCGTCTATTTTCGGACATCCGTAGGCGCGTCACAAATTCTGTAGATACACAGACACACACTGCAGTATTTCATGAAGTGGTTTCTCACCGACGCTGAACTCCTGAGAAGATGTTCCCGGGAACGAGCGCGTTTCGTCTCTCGTCAGGTCCGGACACAAGCAAGACGTTTTGGACGGTATTGTACCAGTCGGTAACAGTTCAGGCTTGCTGTTTTTGTTTGCTTTTAAAATCGGCGCAGTATTGCCGAGAGGGAGAAACGCTAAAACTAATCGTGCGTCACTGTCAATTGATGTTATGCTTAATTATTTTAATTAGCTTTTTTTCCGGTAGTCTTCACAAATAGTACATTTTCAACAATTGAATGTTGATGGGGGGTTTCTTGTAAGTTAGGCGCGCGTGTTTTAATGCGTATTATATGAAAAGAGCTCAGGTCTTGTGGGGCTTTTAAACAACTGGAATTTTGATCCAGTGCAAACACGTGATTTTTCACAGTCGGATAGTTAAGTTTCTAACTCGAAGCCGTCTAAATCGAAAATGTTTTCTGTGTGGCTAATTGGGGTTCCTCTTGCTTTAATAATCAACCCTGTTCAACTTTTTGCTCCTGTGTAGGCACAGTTAGTCAATTTTTTTCAAAACCAATAACGCACGTAAATTCCTGCTGAAACCCTAGTTAATAATAACTAGGGCCCTTTATCGATCTCCACGGAGATGCTAACTGTGAAGATATTTTCTTGAGATTTTTTTTACCATGAAAACGAAGATGGAGAGACAGGGGTCTCAGTTCCTCGAAGGCTTGGTATCTTCGTATTTGTGTTCAACCACATTCTCTGTTACATAGCTGGTCTAATTTATTGAGCTGCATACATGTAATAAATCTGTCCAGGCTCTGAGGAACCTTAAAGGTACAGTAAGTGTACCTTTAATGAAGTGAATGCCTGGTGGAGTCAGCTGTGAATGTCCTACAGTATATATGACTAATTTAGAAAATCATTAGGCTAATTGTGAAATTGATTACTGAGGTACCGACACAATACGAGGCTGTGCAGGGAATGTCTTTACAACTGCTGCAAAAGCCTTCACAAACCTAAGCAACTGAGACAAGGGAGCATTGCGTCTTCTAGTTAAAACAGTGAAAATCCAGAAACAAGGTCTTTATTGGGCAGCTCATTCATAATGACTTTTTTTAAATAGGAAAAGAGTGTTGATTAGGAAAAGTGTTTTAAATAATTGTAATGGCACGATGGCCGAAAATTGATGTAGAACTGGACCCTATGCGGTAGTAGGTTTGATATCAAGCACCGGGTTTGAGAGAGAGCCGGGTGTACTGAGCCGAATCGTAGGGTCCGGAATCGTAGTCAAAGGGAAACGCAGGTCAGGAAGCCAGAGATTCTAGAGTCGAACAGCAATCATGTAAACCTGAGGACGTTAACTAGGAGCTCCGCTGGGATACCCAGTGCTGAGCACTGTGGTGGTGGTAAAGAGCCCTCAAGCACTCTGAGAACCGAGGGGTGTGATTGGATAATTAGTTTCTATGCCTGCGTTTGCGGGAATTGGAAGGGGCTTGTTTCTGATTACGGGGGGCCGTGACAATAATTCTCCAAGGTGTAACAATCACCTGCCCATGACCACCCGTCACGAGGACTTGTGTAGAGCCCAGGAAAGTACGAGGCAGGGACAGTAAAATCCCCATGAAGTAGAATCCTGAATGGAATGTCTTTGACCAACTTCTCCACCTTTCTAAGTGTGCTGTCTTGGAAAACCAGGATCCCGAGTGCAGAAGAGTTAGAGGAACCGCAGACAAAGCAAAGAACTCCGAGCACAGACAGAAGAGCACGAACTGGAGAGTGTGGCCTCGCTGTGGGAGTCAGGAGGGTAAAGAGGCCCCAGGCTCAACACACAGCGAGGGAGGAGGGGTCCCTGTGGGACCCCATCTGGACATTCTGATCAAAGCCGGAACAGGAGGAGATCTCCTGGAAGATGAAAGGAAAGAGGAATTCAGGAAGGGTTAGAGGAGAGTGTTGGATAGAATCTTGGGGAGCCCTTCGTCACTTTCAGTTTTTATTCTCCTTAACTACAGTAAATTACATAGAAAAGACTGAACGGGCACATGTCTTCTGTTGCAAAGAGAGGAAAGGGTGCCTGTTAATTTACTGAGTGACCTGAAAAAATCTAGCCATCTGCTAGGATTCTTATATTTTTTCAAAGCAGCACTGTGGTCTGCTCTCCATGACAAGTGGAAAATGAGCAGATAGAAACTGTAGTTAATTCCACTTGAATAACAGCTGCACTCATATTGATTTGTAGATTTGTAGTGATTGCTTAAAACAAATTTCCTGAGAGAAAATGAGCCACCGTTATAATGAAGAGGCAAAGGAGAAGATGCGGGTTATGGATTAAAGGAATGCTTTTTTAATGTTTTTCCCCCAGAAATCCTTTGCATAATGTAATTTTGCAATTAATGCAGCATCTCCATATTTGAGCCACAATAAATACCAAAAAGGAAAAGACATCGTCTTGGAATAACTGTGTAGGCTGGATGTCACGTGTCAGAGCTGCTGATATAATGATTGCGTGTTAAGAAGTTCCTAAGACCTCTGGCTGCTGCCTGTTAATCAGATTGCAAGCTTCTACAGTTTTCCTTAAGGGCAACATGGAAACACCTGTCGTACGTGCAAGGCAGAAACACAGTTCTGAAGCTGAGCACCCGATTTTGTGAATCTTTTCTAGATGTATAGATATTTTATTGATCCCGTGAGGGAAATTCTAGATTCTAGATCTAGGGTGTGTTAACTAGCTCGTAGTCAGAGTGTGTTCAGATGCTGTCATGGATAAGACTGGTACAGTACCTCACAAACAAAAACAAGAAGAAAGGTTCCCAAAGTTCACCACAGCTGGGAAGCGTTCTTGAAGGGCAGGCTGCCTCAAATGGCAAATTAAAATTACTGCAGAAACCCTCATGATATAGGCCTGTTATCAAATCATTATTTGATAGGCAGTTGTGCTATCTATCTGAAGAAATGCTGAGCGACACTTTCTTTATTTTGTGCAAGGACTGCTTGTGAAAGAAAATGTGGATAACAAAATGAAGCACTCCTTGTTCTGGCCCTGAGCCTTGAGTAAATTCATGACCGTTTCTTCAAAATACAATATCAAGCTCATGAAATACATAGTTCTTTCATTTTATAAAATGTAGTCTAAATTTTTAGTTGTTACAGATAGACAGAATTATATTTGGGCATATTAATGGCATTATCTCTGGCCATACCAAAACCTGGTGTGAAATGACAATGAGCAAATATCTGTATCTTTTGGAAATGGAACTTCTTTTTCTGGCTGATTTCTGCCAGAAAAGCTGCCACTTCATTTGTGAATTATGTAAATGTCCAGAGAAGGACGATGAGTTTCCAATTAATAGAGAAGAGCAGGAGGTCACTGAAGCCTTTTTCAGCTCTCTTCTTACATCTCAGGGAATTTGATGAACCATTGTTGCTGTTAAAATCTGGGTAATAGATATTTAATCACTTTTTTTTCCTTAGATCGTTAATTATCAAGTGATAGAAAGTAAATTAAAGTCTTAATTTAGGACACCATGGCAGACGTAACTGAATGTCTTTTCCAGTTTCCTGTACAAAGTTGGTATCATTTTTTTTCTTTCTCCTTAATGTTCCTTTTTGGAAATATTTCAGCGTGTGGCTCGTGTTAACAGAAGACTTGCATTAGTTTGCGAATTAATAATCTGTACTTCCAGAATGACTCATTCAGTAAGCACTCCGGATCAATGTGCAGGTGACACATGGTTCTGAGGACTGAAATCAAGAAACTAGTCTTTACACAAAGAGTTGTAGGGAACCAGAACAAATTGTCAAGCCAGATTGTCTGGGTTCGTCATGAAATGAGCAGATGAGATCCTCAGAACAATCAGCAGCAGGTGAACAGATGATACAGATGGGTCTCCTCTCATCTGACCTCTTTTTTTGTGTTTCTAAGTCGCTATATTCCAGACTGAGCCAGTTGTGAGTCTGGGCTCCATCATTAGTTGAATGAGTCCATTATTTCCCAACCAGCAGCACACAGCTGGATGTGGTCCACGTCAGGCCACTGTATCTCCGCTTGCATGTTTCACAGCTGGCCATGTTGTGAGGGTTCCAGCTGGCCAGGGTGCCCTTAGCTTGCTGAGCAACAGCACCCCCTATGACCTGCTGCCATCTGCGAGCCTGCTGTGCCGTCAGCTGGAGATGCACCGCTCCTCCAGCTGATGCTCGATCTCCTGTAGGCCCTGCGGCCCTCCCTCCGACAGGTGTGCGCCTTGGAGAACGAGCAGCCTCCTCACCCCCCTGCTCCCCGCGCCGACGATCATGACAGTCAGAAACAGCCACAGCCCAGAGGTCATGTGACACTTGCTGTATCCCAGAAGCCACCTGACCTTTACCTCGCCAAATCCCAGAGGCGGTGTGAGATTCCAAAATAAGGGGCAGTAAACAAAGAAAGCCGAGAGTTCCCATTTTCTGTCTCTGAAAACTGAGAACGTAGTGGGAAATGGCTGCATTTTCCAGTCGATAACAACAGGATCAATCATCTAAGGCTAAGCTTTAACCTCCCAATACATTTCCAGTGTTTTGATGTCCTCAGACGATCTTTTCCTGCCAAGTAGAGTGTCGTTCTCGCCACAGCTGGGGAAAAGAGTCACCCAAAGCCAGTTTCCCTGCCAGGAAGTTTGCATGTCACTGGGAGTTTGGGTAAGCTTTCACGTCCTGTGTGGAAATCACAGCAGAACAGATCAGCGTTCTCGAATGCCAGCAACACGGAGATGTGGCTCCGTGTCATGTACGGATGCAGAGCCATTAAAGGTCATTTTCATGTAGCGCTAGACGTTGAAAGCCTAGGAGA